AACCTATCCAACCTATTTTTCAGGATTGTATGCCATCTTCATAACCTGAAGGAAAGACAGAAAAATATATAAAAATAATACCAACATGCATACTGTTTCTGATACTGGAGATAATATATAATTATTCTGATATATACAGTAACCAGCTACTTTTCCAATCCAATCCATTCAAGAATTCCCTGTAGAAGTTCTACAATGTAACTTTTCTTTTTATAAGCTAAAAAAATCTTATTACACTCTTCTCTTCACATTCTACATATAACAATCAAGCAATGAGTTTAAACGTCTCTAGTACTTGATGATACCTAGTCATATAATTCTGTCCCTGGTGAATAAAGCAATGCTATGAACAACTTATCTCAGTGCCTAAAGACGATGATGGTCTGGTGGGGAAGCAACAGGTTTTAGTTGAACCCTGGCAAGACTGAGAGGCTTTGGGCTTGGGAACTTTCCAATTGTAGCACTAAACCATCTTTGGTGCTGGATGAGGTGGCACTGCCTTAGACAGAACTGGGAAGTCCCTCCTGGCCTCATTACTCCTGTTCGAAGGGTAGGTGGTAGTTGTTTCCTTTGCACAGCTTTGTATTATGTGTCCATTGTGGATGGGAGAGGATTGTCCACTGTCATTCATTCCCTGGTAAACTCCTGCTTGGATTTATGTAATGCCTTCTACATGGGGCTGCTTTTGAAGTATATCAAGTAGCTTCAGCCAATACAAAATGCAGGCAGTTATGTGTGACCTTAGTATGGTACGTTACACCTCTGCTCTGTGGGCTACATCGGTTGCCAATTTGCTTCTGGGTCCAAATCAAGATGCCGCTTTTAAATCTTTAAATCCCTTCATGACACGTGGCCAATTCATCTGTGGGACCACTTCCCATAGATGGGAGGTCTGTTCCACCATATCTGAACTACGCAGTGAGATCCAGAAGGCAGGTCTTCTCTGCCATGGTGCCCGCCTTATGGAACCTTCTCATCAGAAGTGATATTTATCCCTCTTAACATTCCACAGCCCCCTCAGAACATTACTATGCCTTCAGGCCTGGAGAGTCTAGGGAACCAGGGAATTCTGGTGATGGTTCCTTTACTGTGGCTATCATCTTCTCCTGTTTTTATGGTTTTCATACTTGAGATAACTGTTATATATTTATTATTTTTATTAAATATTTGTAGTTGAGCTCAGAGTCCCTTTTTTGTGAGATAGGCATCCGTACAAATTTGACAAATAAATAATATAACAGGTTCCAATTGAAGCATTACCAAATAGTATTCTTAAATATTAACATTCCTCTTTCCCTCCATACCTGCACTATCAATGAAAACTGTAGCATTTCTATGCTGGCAGTACACAGAATAGTTGCATATGGTATTATAACAACTTCTCTGAGTGAAAGACCATTTAAATAAATGCTGTTAATCTATAGCATTATGCTAGTGTATCACTGCTCTTTACTTAATGGATTTGAGATTTATTCAGGTGCAAATCACTATATATTATTCTGATTCAGGGAAAGCAGAGTACATGCTCAATTCTTGAAGAAAAGTATTCTTTTCTCTCATTTGAAGGACCTCTAGCCGCCAGAAATACCTGTATGAAATGTAATTATCCACATATCTTTTGAAGAAAGAGATCAGGTAAAATAAGGTTGCCAAATGAGTTTGCTGTATTATAACCACTAAATATACTCTCAACTGATAATTCATTCTTCAAGTCAACGCAATGAAAAAAGTAAGTAAATTATACAGCTCTGAAGTCATGTATCAAAGTGTTGCAGTCAGTTACTTTTCAAACGAAAAACAGTAAACAAAATTGTGATCTGGCTTTGGGGAACTTCAAATGAAAGCTAAGTAATATAATTCAAAACGTGCAGTATACCTTTCTGAGAATTATGTCAGGAAACAATTCCTACTTTCACAATATTTGCTGTGATGAGAGGGGAAATATATATTATAGTTTTGCAATCCAGCTGATTTTAAGTTAACCGTCAGTGGGCTGGTCTTCAGTCAAACAAACAAATTAAGCCTGAAATCTTGAACAATGTTACTACAGGGCAGATTCCACTGAACAAAACGAAATAAATGCTATGCCTTACATCTGCAGGAGAAGCCCCTCCTATATATGTTAACAACTTGCTTTTAAATAGAATTTATACCGCAAAATCACAGGACAAAACAGTGTACATGCCATTGCTTAAAAATGAATGGGTGTTTTTCCCAAGAGCATATCACCATACAGTTGGAATCTCAGTCCTGAATTGGAAAAATCTTAAGTCAGTCATAAACTCCCAACCTAATTTAATGTCTTTGCTGCAAAGATGTGGTATCTGAATCATTGCATATGCAAACTTGAACTCCAAATGTAAATATTAAGAGTACATAAGAAACAGAAAAATTGTTTTGCTTTGAAACTAGAATACAATATCATAAGTTCTACCAAGCTATTTCAATTGTTTGATTGTTGTGGGGTTTAGGTGAAATCAATTCTGAATGGATCAAGTGATGGAAGGCTGATGTGCATCGCCCCACTCACCCCTCTTCCTCTTAATAGCTTCCACTGTGGCTTACTCCAAGGGCTCAACCACTACTCCACACCTTTGCAGTGCCTACTCTTTCCTACTTCCCTTTAGTTGCCTCCCAGATATCCTAGCACAGCATATTCCTCAGCTACATTCAACGTGTAGAATGCAGGCCAAGCCCTTTGAGTTTTCTTGATCTCTGAATTAAATGAAGAATATACTGTGGAATGTAGTCAACATTTCCTTGTAACCATGCAGGAGGAAGGAAGGTGCTAGAATGAGTAGAAGGCAGACAGGTCAGCTAGTGAGATATGTTGTGCTATAATACCAGTATGATGTTCTCGGTGCATGGACTAAAATAGATGTTTTGATTCAGTACAGATCACATGAAAACAACTGTATAATGCAAATATGTGTTTGTACACAGAATAGTTTACATATCCTAGTAAAAATTTAAACAGATAAGAAACCCCTCTGATGTAGTCTTTAAATTTGAATTTTATTACTACCACAATTTGGACTAAACAAAAGAACATTTTTCCCATTTGACTTTCATTAGGAATGTGAATTGGCAGGAAGTTTTGTTTTAAATCATCTATTTAGCAGGCAAAGTTGTTTGTATATATTTTAGTTCACTACATAGTTACGTTTGTGATATTTTTAAACAAAAGAAAACTATCATCAGTAGACTTCCATTAATACATGAAGTGTGTAGCTTTCTGCCAATTACCATAAACCATACGTGAATATCTCCTTCAAACTGGAATACTAAGTGAAGGCTATGATGCAAAAGTCAAATGGATGAGGTACAATATAAATGTAAATGAAATACTTGCCCACAAGCATGTGTATGCATTATACATTATAAACTACATTATAAACCTATTCATCAATGATGTAAAAATATGGCTGAAAATCCAATCAGAAGTCTTGTATTCTTGCTAAGCTTATGTCTCTAGACATAATAGAATGGAGCCATAGAAAGATTTGGTGGCAAAATTATTAAAATCTCATCCTGGGATAGAAATGCTAATTATGTTTAATAGTATAATTTTTTCGATTTGGATTTTTTCGATTTTATTGAATTTCTATGCCGCCCTATTCCCAGAGGGACTCAGGGCGGCTCACAAACCAAGTCGGGGGGGGGGGTACCAAACAAACAGAAAAAAAAGACACGGACAAAACAATACCACAATTTAAAAACAATCAACAGCCACACCATTCGAGCGGGGACAAGAACTCATCAGCCCCAGGCCTGTCGGAACAGCCAGGTTTTAAGGGCTTTGCGGAAAGCCTGGAGGGTGGTGAGGGTCCGAATCTCCACGGGGAGCTCGTTCCAAAGGGCCGGAGGAGCCACAGAGAAGGCCCTCCTCTGGGTGGTAGCCAATCGGCATTGGCCAGTGGATGGAATTCGGAGGAGGCCTAATCTGTGGGATGTAATCGGTCTGTTGGAGGTAATTGGCAGCAGGTGGTCTCCCAAGGTAATAACTTGAACTGAAAATAAATTTAGGTGCTCAATTCTAGCAATAGCTAGCTTCTTAGTGAGACAACTATGTTGATGCTTCTTCTTCACAATCAACTTCAAATATTAAAGTCCTTTATTCAGAAAATAGAATGGTTAATTAGAAGACCACAAAGCATTTGATGACCCCAGAATGCTTCACAGAATTAGTTAATTCCATGTTAAGCTTAAGAACAAATATCAGCCTTAAATAGGCTGATATTTGAATCCCAAACCGTACAATAATTCAAACATGGTCAAAAATATATTTAAAATTACTGTTTACAGTGGTACCTTGATACTCAACTGCTTTAAAACTGATCAAATTTGGCATTTTGATGTGAAAAAAATTGTCCCAGTACTCGTTTGTTGGTACTCTATGTACAAGTTAAAACTTGTTGACTCACTACATTATTCCTTAGAGGAAAACATTGTTTGGTACTTGTCACTTTTGCTATTCATCACACCTTCTAGAATCAATTAATGACAAGTACCTGTACTTAAAATGGGGGGGGGGGGTTCATTACTAACTAAACATCCATGAGAAAACCTGATTTTGAAAGATGACATACAATTTTGAAAATAAAGTAAGCAAAGAAGGATGAAGGATACCTAAGCTTTTAATAATAACAGTTCCTTTGACTAATTTCTATAAATGATACTAGTTGCTGAGAACTGCCAGATTGCCACAAGTTATAAATTAAATAAATACAAATAAATAAAAGAATCTTTTATCAATATTAAAAGATGGAACAAATCTTTAAAGCTGATTCAACAGCTCAATCCTATTTTCTCTTTTCTGACTCTAAAAGATTAAGCAGATATTCCAGACTGTCAGTATAAGGCACTAATTGGATATCTATAAATTAAACGGAAATGGCCATAGCCAATGAGACATTGCTGAATAACTAAACACTTTTATCCTAATATGTCATGTTCATTCCCAAACATTTCCCAGTGAAAGTAGACTGAGCAATACTTACTACAACACCATTGTTTGTGGTAGTCTCACGGTATGTAAAATTGCAAACAGCCCAAGCTAAGTAATATGTGGACATGAGTGGAGTCTGTGAAAAGTGATCCGTAACCCATCCATCTTCTTCAGAAACAGAGGTTTCCACTGGCATATTGGACAAAGATAAATAAGTTGCTTGATGTTTGATGCTGATTTTAAATGTGGCCTTGTAGATAGGTTCATCAAAGCAAGGAAAGGCTTTTCTGGCATGTGTAGGAGAAAACTGTGTAACTGCAAGAAACCTGGAAGGGGAAAAAATGTTTTCATTCAGAACTGGATGCAAAAAAATATTGTAATGCAAATGACGGCAAGTTTGGATTAGTGGTTATTAGTGGATACAATACAATAGCAGAGTTGGAAGGGACCTTGGAAGTCTTCTAGTCCAACCCCCTGCCTAGGCAGGAAACCCTGTACAGTTTCAGACAAATGGCTATCCAACATCATCTTACAAGACTTCCAGTGTTGGGGCATTCACAATTTCTGGAGGCAAGCTGTTCCACTGATTCCAACTGTTCTGTCAGGAAATTTCTCCTCAGTTCTAAGTTGCTTCTCTCCTTGATTAGTTTCCACCCATTGCTTCTTGTTCTACCCTCAGGTGCCTTGGAGAATAGTTTGACTCCCTCTTCTTTGTGGCAACCCCTGAGATATTGAAACACTGCTATCATGTCTCCCCTAGTCCTTCTTTTCATTAAACTAGATATACCCAGTTCCTGCAACCATTCTTCATATGTTTTAGTCTCCAGTCCCCTAATCATCTTTGTTGCTCTTCTCTGCACTCTTTCTAGAGTCTCCATATCTTTTCTACATCGCGGTGACCAAAACTGAATGCAGTATTCCAAGTGTGGCCTTACCAAGGCATTATAAAGTGGTATTAACACTTCACGTGATCTTGATTCTATCCCTCTGTTTATGTAGCCTAGAACTGTGTTGGTTTTGTTGGCAGCTGCTGCACACTGCTGGCCCATATTTAAATGGCTGTCCACTAGGACTCCAAAATCCCTTTCACAGTTACTACTACTGAGCAAGGTATACTGGGCTAGAAACCAGAAGCTGTGAGTTTTAATCCTGTCTTAGATCAGTTAAGTGACTTTGGGCCAGTCGCTCACACTCCCTCTGCCCACAATATCAGACTCAAGCAATAATCAGTCAATTCCTGTCGGTCAACTCCCTGTTACACCCAATGGATCCTTAAAAAAGGATCAACTTGCAGAAAATTTGCAATGGGAAAAAAAGAGCAACCATCATTATGAAGCTTTGTCAGCATTTTTTTCCTTGTGGACCAAAATTATTTGGTTTTGAATGACCTTTCATTATGAATAACTAGAATTATTATAGCCATATCTGTATCTACAGATTTTTTTATTTTAAAAAATGTTTTGAATTTGAGAAAGTGTTTGAAAGAGCAGTAATATGCAACATAAAGCCAAAATTACATTTAACTCTAGAGAAAATATTTATCTGCTAATTCTATCAATATGGTTTTTAAAAACCCTTACCAAGGGTTTTTAAAAATCTTACCAAGTGCTGCAACCTATAGCAGAATCTTAGACAGGAATAAATCCAGAAAAAATAAAAGCAAGTTAACTATAGCTTACAATTATATTAATGATACTTTTCAGGAACTCTGCAAGAAAGTAATAATGCACTCTGACTTCATATGTTGTACAGTGTTTTCTCACCTAAGAATACTCGACACCTTCAATTCAATGTCTGGACAAGTCCCTGCAGTTTACCTGGCAAGATTTCATTAATGGTTTGCCATTGCCTGCTTTCTAGAACTGAGTATGTCTGATTGGCCCAAGATCACACAGTTGGCTTTGTGATTAAGACGGGACTAGAACTCACAGTCTCCTGGTTTCTAGCCTGATGCCTTAAAAACTATACTAAGCTGGTTCTCGTAAGAATACTTTGGAAACTGTTGTTTTTATAAGCAACATGTCAGTAATATTACAAATTTAAGGTATTTGCTAGATGCCAATCTTGCCCCATCAGTAATAATTCCGATATTTTACTATATGTAGCATTTATCAAATAGGAATACTAAGAAAAACTGTGTCAAATATATATAAAAGCATTGGCTTAGTTCAAAGAGCATTATGTACAGCAATGTTTGGGCTACCTTTTCCCTCTTTATTTGCACATTAAAAAGGGACTTTTGGCTTTGAATATATTGCAATTCCAAATCACAAAACAAAGAGAAACAAGGATTGCTTTCAGAGCCAGATTTGTTAACTGAAATAAGACACAATTTGCTAGGTTTGTTGTAATGGGATATTGCAAATTAGTCAACATCCAGAAGTAAAAGTAATTTCCTTTTCAGACTTGCAGAGAAAAAAGTGAAGAGACAACATGGAATCCCATGGCCATACTACCGGTATAGCATTTGTTTGTACTTGGCTTTATCTAATTCCAATGGAAAAATACTTAGTTAATGATGGAAGAGTGGTGAAAGTTTAAAGGTTATTGAAAATTAATCCACATTCTATATGTTGACATGCCCACACATATATTACATTTATTGCTCATATTGTAACAATAGCTAAGACACTGACCGCTTGTTTTACTGAGTAGAAGGCTTCTAAATCTTTATTTTATTTCTGTATAATTTTTGCATTTTTTTTAATCCAGAAATAAAAACTAATGAAACTTTGTATAATAGAGCTATAAAACTGATGGAAATCTTGAAATTTTGTTCAATTTCTTTTAACCATACATTTGCCTGAGATTTATGATTTCATATTTTTAGGCAGAACATAATTTTAATTTTATTGTTGTATGTCTGACAATATTTTCTATAGTCTTCGAAGACCAAATATTACTAATACTATTTTTCAAATAAATGCATGTAACTTTGACAAATGAAACCTGCCAGTATTAAAATGACACTTTAAAAGGTGTGATTGTAATTTCTACAATATTTAGTTTTCTGTAATCATTTCACAGCAAATTAAATGTTCTAAATTATTAGATATTTAAGTAAATATTAAATCCCACTTATTTTCTTATTAATGGATCATGTTCCCAGACTACTTTTTTAAAAAAAATCAACTTTCTTATATTTTAATTGAGTAATATTTTCAAGTATTTAGTTCTTGAACTTGGCATAATCTCAAAGCCCTAATTAAAAAGAATTATTAAAATTCCTACAATAAAAGATGGAATCATTACATTCGCTTAAAAAAATTAATTATGATAAGTTGAAACATATATGATAGTTGAAAATATACATTCTAAAAATGGTTAATGATATAATTATTTCAAATAAAAACATGTCCAAAGCGCACCTACCAGGTTTGTGGCAACTGGTTGTTATATGTCATTCCAAGCCACTAATGCCAGAATATCTGGAGCAAAATTAATTGCAGGATTAAATTTTCAGTCAGAGTGGATGAACTGATGTGGGCATTCTTTAGATTCATAATAAGTATCAGAAAGATCAAACTGAAAAGTTATTCTTAAAAAAAATATTTATAGATGAATCTGATGTTGACCTGGTGATAATTTCTGCCTCATGAAAGACTTACAAATGCCATTCTTAGCCCTTAAATATTAAATTATATGTGTGAGAGATAATCATATCTTTGTATTAACTTCACCAAGCATAAATAATTATGTTCTAACACATAGTGCTCTATGTGCTGAATATAAATGAAATGCAATAAAAGCTTATTTATATATTCTGATACTTGTTGAAAGTAAAGATGAATTAGAAGATTAAAATGTATTCATAGCTAGTGGGCCTTGTGAGGTTCTTAATATCATGGTGGTTTTAATATATTAGAAAATATATCTTGACTATCCAGTCATTTATTAGAACAATGCAAATAGAAGTCTCTGGTCCTGCATATGCTTTGTTTAAACTTCAGAATTTACACACATGTGGTAGTTAATGACAGGATTATATCTCAAATGTGTAATTATGGGAAAGAAAAATTTACAGGATGGCATCCTTGAATACAGATGACAGCAATTTGTACCTATTTTAATTCTACCTTTTCTATTAAAAAGGCAGATATGTTTCCTAAAACATCCTGTCTAGAAATTAGTTTTGAAAAGTAACAAAGCTATTAGGATTGAAGGAATTGTTTTGTTCTAATATATATAAAAAGTCAATTCATTTTTAGGATAATTTGCATATGATGTCCCTTAAAATACTGTTATGTCACCAATACAATACAATAACTAAAACTTTTATTGTAGTGTTTTGATTTTACTTTAAACCATCAATGATTAAATTACCTCAACAGAAAAATTAGTATTTTAGAGTCTCCGCAATATTTTAGAAATATTTATGTTATTTGCTGATAGGGTCAAGAAATTGGCCCTATCTTCCTTTATCTATCTTTATCACTTCTATGGAAGACTTATGATAATAAAACATTGGATCAAATGAACAAATAAAGGAAATAAAGGTCTACTAAATTCAATTAAATATAAATAAGTCAAAGAATATAACTGCTTGGAGCTACTTATCATTAGACTATTGTGCAAAGAATGTTGACAGATATTTTGTATGCTGATTACTAATTTTCTTAACTGCTACATAATCCCATGAAAACTCTGAAATCATTTTAATTATAGGTCATCCTGTTTCCAACAGTTATAGGGTTGCCAAACTTTCAGGCATATTTTTCCACAGAAATGTGTTCTAGATCATGATTGCCTAATAAACTTTTGATATTTCAAAAAGAAAACATTAAACAGTTCAATGTGGTCTATATTTCAAAGATACTTTACTTCTCTCTCAGAAAAGTACAAAGTGCTTGAACATCCCTATGTGAGATTAGGTATTGATCTGTTGACTTAAATAGAGCTGGACCAATTTACAGCAATTTAAAATTTTGTTTTGTGCAATTCTTTGATAAGTGGACAATTCTATGGCACTCTACTCAGAAAATGCCACAGTATTCACTGAAGATTATTTGCAGATAAGTGGGTACAAGACTGCAACATAAATGCATAATCAATAAATTAACTATGTGAATAGAAATTAAAAACTATTGGTATTATTTCTTTGGGGTGTACATATGCTAAGACTTCGTTGTAATTGTTACATTACTGCATGTGCATTATTTATAATTTTGCCACAACCTTTCAATTACTTTGTCACGCTTGCCATTTATTTTTATTTTTAATGTTTTATTATAATTTCTTGTTTTCATACTTGTAGTTTTCAGAGTCCACTTCCAGGAAGTTTGGTAGAAATCAAGTTTAAGAAATTATTATTATTATATAGCTTAGAAAGGAAATTTGCCTCAAACTACATTTCTCTGTAGAGAAAGCATATCTTCGGTATTATTAAAGCAATAAAAATAGAAGTCTGTGATCCTGCATATACTTGCTGCATGGAATTTGGAGGTAATATCCTTTTAATGGACCATTATGCTGCAAAAACATTTCACACATTTTGAGGAAAGTTATATTAGTATAAGGTATAGGATGTTGGCATAATTAAGGTGAAGGCACACTCATTTTTTGGATGGCAATGACTTAAGTAAACTAGTTGTTCAAGATAAACTGTCAAAGAAATTATGAGATGTACAGAATAAGATCAAGGTTCGGTTTTCAATAATGTTCAGAATGAAAATAAATCCTTTTTATATTTCTGATAACAAAGTTATCATAAATTTATTTCTGCTTTCCTTAATCTAAAGCTTTCTTTAAGGAATTAGGACTGGGCTTTGTTATTTGATTTTTGTTGAATAAAAAACTTAAAACTTATTCTTAACAGACTTGGTCTATATAATGTGATCAGTAAAGAAGCCCAAGACTTTCTTCTCAACTGCAGAGTATACTTGGAATGGGTGGTCTAAAATCATAACAAGGAAAGGAGTGCTTTTCTCTATTTGAAATTCTACTTCTGAAACCTTCCCCCTTCATTGTTTCTGCTCTCTCCATGTTTACTATCAAGCAGATCTAAACCCCCACCCCATTGTAAAGTATTTACACAGATAAGTTTAGTATTAAAGTCCTTTGCAGTTCACTTGAATATACAACAAAATATTTCCTTAATAAACTATAGCTAGGTAGATCATGTACTGGTGGTACTCTTTAAAACTTTCTCAGTAAGAGAAGCTTCTTTAAATTCTTTATAAACAATTCCTTTTATCTCAATTGCTATGCTTGTTGATGTAAACAAATGCATATGCAACAGTGCCAAGTTAAAAAGTATTGACTAATTTCTCCTATAGCAAGAGTAACCTGAAAAACCACAACTCTGGGAAGCTACCAGGTTGCCTATCTCGTCTTGGACCTTATGGTAAGATGTAGGAAATAGTGGCTAGTCAAATACAGCTCTCTCATAGACTGAATAACACTTGCAAATTATTCTGTTAACATCCCAGGGTCAATTATTGTTACAAGCTATGAGTAAGAAAATCCACTTCCCCACCAAGGACGCAGTTGAAAAAAATCTAATGAAGTACAATTAATTGTTCCCCTTTTTCCTAGGAATGCCACATAGCTTTGCCTTTTTGTGAAATGAAACCAAGAATAAATGCAGGGAGACCCCATTGTGCAGATACAGGTATAGCAGAATAAAATTACTTTGCCATTAGTAAGAAGAAATCTTCTCTCTAAACCGCATTTCAGAATTAAGCATCATAAAAGAAATGTGTTGTTCTAAGATGTCAGCCTTAAAATACTCTAATTGCAGTATTCTGTTTCTTTTATCCGGTTCTCTTTGAACAGGAAAGTTTATACAAACTTTAAGGCAGTAAATAAGTTGCAAATGGAAGGACAGTTAAATTCCAAATTTAATTGATCAGATCCTGCCTAAGTAAAATGTGAACTTTGCTGGAGGTACAGGATAGAGTTTAAGCAGTTAACATGAAAACTTTTGCAGAAGTTTAATTCAAGTGGCTTTAACTCCAAACATATCCATTTCTGGCATACAGATGTATTAAAGATGATTATAAGGTCTCTTATATTCTAAAGTAAAATGTTAAATTTAAAAAAAAGTTTGGGGGGGGTGCTGGGAAGTTAAACCTTTTGGTTAACATGACTCTATATTAATGCAAACGGTGCCCTTATGCAGGAATTTTCAGGAAGCACTTGTTATTCCGACTACACACAATAAAAAAGGGGGAAGAGGGTAAAGGAAGGGCAAGTATGGAAAGGAGATCGATACCTTCTTTCCCCGTAGAGGACGTAAGAGCTGCGGAAAAATCCCAAAAGCTCGTTCTCGATCGGAGCGTTATAGAGGATCTTAAGGTTGTAACTTCTCTGTTCCTCTAAGCTCCGATTGAGGACTATGACGAAGACCTGGGTCTGTGGGTAAAAGAAGAAGCCGGAGACGTTCAGGGCACCGGCCAGCCGGTCCTCGGCCACACGGACTGCTTCGATGTGCATGCGGTGGGCGTGGAGAACGAGGTAACGGGTGGCGTTGAGACACTCGACTTGCACGTTGACCTCGCCGCTGAAGGTGAAGTTCTCCATGAAGACGCTCAGCATCAGGTTGTAGTGGAGGGGGCGCAGGTGTCCGGGAAGGCGCAGCTGGGTCCACGGTTGCTCCCCCCGCCGCCTCGGCCACTCCTCCTCCTCTTCCCCTCTAGCCGCTTCCAACGCCACCGTCTCTTCCCCTGCACTTCCAGGGGTTTCCCCGGCGCTGTTCTGGTTCAAGCGGGCACTTCCTGCGGGGGCTGCAGCGGCAGCTGCCGCCGGGACACTCCGGTTGCCCGCCCTGCCTCCTGGGCCGTCCGGCGTGGTGCCGCTGCTGCATTCCTCGATGCGCACGCTGAGCAACACGGCGATCATGGTGACTACCAGCAGCGCCAGGATGGAGATGGCGAAGCCCATCACCAGGCGCTTGTGCACCGTGATGTGTCGCTCGGTGGTGCGGGGTCGAGTGGCCGCCGCGTCTGCCCACTGGCCGGAGAGCCCCCTGCCGCCGTTACTCAGAGCAGCGTCCTCCTCGATCATCCTGAGCACGAAGGATCAGCTCTTCTGACGCTTCTCGGTGAGGAACATCAAACTAGCGCCACCCTTGGCTCCTCCCGCAGGGTTGCCGCCGTCCCCCGCCGGGGCCGGTAGCGCATCAGAGACCGCCGAGAGAAACGGGGAACGGAAGGAAGACCGAGGAAGCACCTAGCAGAGATCAAACCCTCCGCTTTTCTTCTGGCTGCCTCCCCGCCTCCTTCTGCCGCAGCCGCTGCGGGCGTCACTCTGCGAGGAAACCTTCGCGCTCCCTAAGAGCAGCCCCGGCGGCCGAAGGGAAGCTCTTCGCGCCCCATGTGGGAGGAGGAGCCGCCGATTGCCAGAGCGGACTTTGGGCGCCGGGCGTTCTCTTCTAGGCAGGTCTGGGCGCCGTTTCCCGGTCGGCGCTGGAAAGAAAGGACCTCGCGTGGGTCCAGCCAAAAGAGCCAAGAGCTCCGGTTGGCCGCCTCCTCGCTCTCCCCGGGCTACTTATGCGCTCCCTCAAACTCGCCGCGCCACAAACTCTCCTCCCACTCAGCCCCTCTTGACTTAAAGGCTCTGCTCCTTGATTCGCCGGCGCCCATTTTTGCCTCGACGGCTCAGGCGCTCCCGAGAGAAGGAAGAATCCGCGGGAAAGGGACCTTGGCACGGAGAGGAAGACGGACCCGGAGCTGACTTTTCAGCTCCGCGCAGCTTCGGCTTCAGGGTGCCTGCAGGCACCGTGGTAGACACTTCGGCGGCGGCTCTGTGTCTGTAGCCTGCGCGTCTCTGGAAGCTTGGCAGGGCTGCCTGGGCACTTGGTGATCCCGCGAGCTCGGAGTCCGTGGGTTGGAAAAGAACCCCGGACTCCCGAAGAGAACCGGTCGAGGGAAGAAGTCAGAGCAGGTCGGTGATGCCGCCGAACCTGAACGCCGCAACTACGTTCTTTTGAAAAGGTCTGGCGGAGAGACTTGGGAAAGTCCCAGGAGGCAGAGAAGGGGCAGACGAAGGAGGGTAGAACGAATTCCGCGCGCGACCAGCCGGCTGGTGTTCAGCTCCTCTCGCTCGCTACAGAAGAAACGCGCGCGCGCACACGCATACACACATCGTGCAGGAGCCACCAATAAGGTCTACGGAACCGTCCGCGGCGCTGACTCTTTGAGCGGGGTGGAGGGGGACACGCACACACACTACCATGATCGGGGGAGGTGCGGAGGGCGAGCAGTGCTTGACACTGATGGGACGGTTGGCCTCTTAGGGACAAACCTGGAGCTAATTTCTGGCGAATGCCACATCATAAATTTTCTCCGTCGCGAGATTCCCCCCTCCTTTATACACACACACAAACACACACACACACATGTTCAGCACATGCCTACACATGCATGCGTGCATGCATGCATTCTCGCATACATGTTGGGGGGGGTTGAATAAATACATTCGAATGTCAGCCTGTTTTATAGATTAAATCTAGAGGATCCATTCAAAGCAATGCTTTTACCCAAGAATTGAATCTTTCCTAAGGTCTCTGAGCATTTGTTCACAAGTTTTGTCCTGAAAAATTAGTATCATGGAATAAGAAATTAGCTTCATCCTAAGAGGTGAAGAATTCTTCCCTGTAATTTACCTTTTAACATGTGAATGTGCTTTTCAGTGCAAACTGACTCAGAAGCAAGCATGCCATGGAAAGTAACTCTGCCAATATCTTTAAGCTGCCAGAAACACAATTTGCACTGAGCCAGAATGTATTTCTTATTAGTACAAGAAATAATTTTCCTGCTATGCAAAGACATTAGAATGGGAAAAGTTAAACCTTAGTAGAATATATTATTCCTCAAATATCACCTAATCCATAACATAGTTTGTTTGCTATTGGCTTACCATGAGTGAACAGAACACATTAGCAGTGTGGTTTATAAACCCAACTTCATGTTTAACACATTGTGTGAATGGATATTGAAGTCTACTCACCAAATCTTGAAATAATGGTTTGATATGATGTGTGAATGAGCCTATAAATTGTGTGTGTGTATGTAATTAGTGTCACAACCCCTGGTATGCCCAAATATGGGAGGAAGCTCACTGCTTCCATTCTCTGTCTATCGGCTCGTCAAAAGAGACCATCCAGACAGAAACCCAATATTTTTACTGTTGCCTTTGTTACATTTGTGTTGTATTTGTGCTGATAACTAAATAAAGGGAGACTAGTATAGATCTATTTCAAG